ATTAAAATCGGACCTCAAATGGCCCCTCAAACCCCACTCAAATGTCTCTTAATCTCAAGCCCTAATCCCTCAATTTTCTTCCTTAATTTTCACTAATACCATGATTAAACAATGGAAAAATAATCATAAACATGAGTAATGAAGCTCAGGAAACTTACCCAACTGATTCTCTTCGATTTTCCCTTGAATTCACTGCCCAAGCTCGCTTCCCGTCTTAAAAAATGGAGAACTTAGCAAAAATTCGTGAAGGAAACATTATATACTTTCTGACCCATGTTTTCGCACTTGCGGTCCATTTTCCGCTTCTGCGGTATCGCTTCTGCAACCAAATCCACCGCATTTACGGTTTTCATTAAATTGCTAATTTCCGCATCTGCGGTTAAAAACTCGCACCTGCGCTACCGCAGGTGCGCCCACTTCACTGCTTCTGTGGTTCCTGAAGGACTTCCTCTTGGCCGCATCTGCAACTGCCTTCCGCTTCTGCGATCATCGCACCTGCGGCCTCCCAGCCATAAGTGAGGTTATGATAGAAACCAAATGCTTCAGCTGCAAAAACTCAATTCCAAATTCTTCCGTCACCCATCCGGAATCACCCCGAGGCCCCCGGGACCTCAACCAAAAGCACAAACAAGTCACATACCACCATTCAAACTTGTACCAATCTTCAAAATACCTCAAACAATATCGAATCACTCAAAATATATCGGATTCAAGCCGAAATTTCCAAAATCTTCTGAATTACGCTTTTGATTAAAAAGTATACCAAATCACGTCTGAATGACCTAAAATTTTGCTCATACATCCCAAATGACACCATGGAACTACTGTAACTTTCTATATTCCATTCCGACCCTTATATCAAAATCTCACCTATCAACCGGAAAACGCCAAAATCCCAATTTCGTCAATTCAAGCCTAAACCTTCCACGGACCTCCAAATGCATTCCGATTATGCTCCTAAGTCCCAAATCACCTAACGGAGCTAACCAAATTATAAATTTTTTGATCCGAGATCATATACCAACAAGTCAAATCTTGGTCAAACCTTTTAAATTTCAAGCTTCAAACTGAGAATTGTTCTTCCAAATTCATTTCGATTACCCTAAAAACCAAAACCAACGATTTACATAAGTCATAATACACCACACGGGGCTAGTCATGCTCGAAAACTAGCGAGCAAAGTGCAAAAGCTTAAAACGACCAATCGGATCATTACACTACTACTAACAGAAGTCCAGGGGAGAGGAGACTATTATACCTGGTCAAATAAGCAATTGAATAATGACAGAATATATAGCAGGTTATATAGGGCCTTTGGTAATCATGAATGGATGATGACATGAGGGCATTTGATAATGCAATATGATGAGCCTTTCATTTCTGACCATGCACCTATGTTGTTAACAATGGTTTCTTCTAACAGTAGCATCAAAGTTCCTTTCAAAATTTTCAATATATGGGTTGAGCATAAGGAATTCTTGGAGATAGTAGAGAAGGCCTGGCATCAGACACAATCCACAAGTAAGATGAAGAACATATGGATGAAGTTGAAGAGTCTCAAAACAGTATTAAGGAAACTGAATAATGAGGAGTTCAAGTCCAGTAATCAGAAAATAGAGAAGGCAAGACAGGATTTAAAGATTACTCAAGAACAAATACATCTAAGGAATAATACATACTTTCTTGCAAAAAAGAGAGTTGATACAGTCTTTGGAGAAATGGTCATTGGTAGAAGAAAGTGCTTTACACCAAAAGGCTGAGGCAAGATGGATCAAGCTAGGGGATTCCAATAATAAATACTTTTCAGCACTAATCAAAGAGAGTACTCAAAGGAAGCATATAACAGAACTCATATCTCTCACTAATAGAAAGCTTGTTGAACCAAAGGAAATCAGAGAAGAGGTAGTAAATTTCTACAAAGGCTTGATGGGATCTACAACTTATATGCTACTAGCAGTTAACAAGCAGACTATGAGGAAATGACCATGCATCACTCAGCAACAAAGAGTTAGATTATGTGCAGAAGTGACAGAAAAAAAGATTTATGATGGACTATCCTCAATAGGGAATGACAAGTCACCTGGTGTAGATGGATACAATGCTTAATTTTTCAAAAAAAGTATGGACTATTGTGAAGGCAGAAGTTACTGAAGCTATTAAGGAGTTCTTCAAAACTGGGAAAATGTATAGGGCAATTAATTATACAGCTATTACTCAAGTTCCAAAGACTGCTAAGCCAATTACAGTGAAAGAGTATAGACCTATAGCATGTTGTACTGTGATATACAAAATAAATGCCAAAATACTAGCCTCCAGATTGCAAGAAGTGGTTCCAGATATCATATGTGAAGCCCAGGATGGGTTTCTCCCAGGGAGGAAAATAGCTGACAACATCTTTCTTGCTCATGAGCTAGTTAAAGCTTATATAAGGTAGAATATATCTTCTAGATGCATGATAAAAATTGACTTACAAAAAGCATATGATTCAGCCTTTTATGAGATAGATGCTTATTGAGCTTGGGTTTCCAAATCAATTTGTACTTTGGATAATGGAGTATGTTCAAACAATCAACTATACTGTGATGGCTAATGGTGAACTAAGTGAGTCTTTTAATGCAGCTAGAGGACTTAGACAAGGAGATCCAATATCTCCTTTTCTATTTACAATAGCTATGGAGTATTTAAGTAGACAGCTTAATGAACTGAAGGAAGATATAATATATCAATTTCATCCAAAGTGTGCAAAACTAGGTATTACACACCTTAGTTTTGTAGATGATCTGCTGCTTTTGCCAAAGGAAACCTATCTTCTATTACTGCTCTCTATAAGTGTTTCGGGCAATTTTTTGAAGCTTCAGGATTGCAAGCTAATCTTGGAAAGAGTTGTGTGTATTTTGGAGGAGTTAAGAAGAAAGTTCAAGATAGTATACTGGATCATCTGGGGTTTGTTCATGGGAGTCTGCCTTTCAAATACTTGGGAGTGCCTCTATCAACAAAGAAGATCACTTTAATGCAATGGCAACCACTAATAGAGAAGATCACAACTAGAATTACCTTATGGACAGCAAAAAAACCATCTTATGGAGGAAGAATTCAATTAGTCAAATCTGTGTTGTTTGGAATTCAAGCATATTGGGCTTAGTTATTCCTTATTCCTACAAAGGTTCTGAAAACTATAGATGCTTACTGCAGAAGTTATGTATGGTCAGGCAACAACACAATCTCTAAGAAAGCTTTGGTAGCATGGGAAAGAGTATGCATGCTAAGTCAATTGGAGGGATAGACATTATCAACATAAAGCTATGGAATCAAGCTGCTCAAATCAAGACATGTTGGGATGTAGCTCATAAGCAGGATAAGATGTAGATTAGATGAATTCATGCTTACTATGTCAAAGGTAAGCCATTGATGGAGACAACAATCCCAGCACAAGTAAGTTGGATCACTAGGAAGATATTGGATGCTAAGAAACAGTTACACTTGATACCTGCTGCCAAGACTACAAGAAGTTTGACAAATTCTATTTACCATCAACTTCTCCCTAAAATAAGGCCAGCAACCTGGAAATGCCTTATGTTCAAGAATGATGCTAGACCTAAAACAATCTTCATAATGTGGCTACAATTACAGGGAAGATTGGCTACAATAGATAGATTAGTGAGATGAGGACTAACAATGGACATAACATATACATTGTGTCAGACCCAATTGGAAACAAGGGAACATCTGTTCGTTGAATGTGAATTTGCTAAGGCTATATTGAGGAAGTTGCATAACTGAATACAATGGAAGCAAACAACAGAAACATGGAATCAACATATTGACTGGGCTATTCAAAGTGCCAAAGGGAAATCACAACAAGCTCAAATCTTCAAACTGGTATATGCTGAATGTATATATGTTAAATGGATGGAAACGAATCATAGAGTGTTTGAAAATAACTATAAGAACTGGGAAACAATTGTGCGTGAAATAGATTACACCTGCTATGTAAGAGCAGGACCTAGAGTTAAGGAGTTGTTGCAGAGTTTTGTGTTTTAAACTTCTAGTTTTTTGTTTCTTTTAGTTGAGAACTTCTTGTACATAGTAGAGAGTTAAGGATAAGATAGAATTTAGATAGCTAATTGTGCTGATTAGCTATGGTTTTGTAAAATTTCAAAGGTGATTACTACAAAAATTTAGTTACCAAAAAAAATATGATCTGGGCAAAAAATAACAATAACAACGATCCAGTAAAATTTTACTAGTGGGGTTTGGACAACAAATAAATGAACAGAAAGGAAAAAAAGAAAAAATATGAAAAAGGAGAAAAAGAAAAGGAGAAAAGAAAGAAAAAAGAAGAAGAAAAGAAGCAGAGAAATAAAAAAGAAAAGGAGGAAAAAAAAGGAAATTACCCACAAAAGCTATCACGGGTAGGAAATGTAATTAGTTTGATGTGTAGAAAAGTAAATGGATAGTGAAGGATAAATAGTTTTTTTATGGGTACTTGTGTCATTCACCTTTGAAAAATAGTCAGCGTCTGCAAAGTCATTAAAAAATAGTCATTATTTGTTGTAACACGAAAAGTTTCAACATAATATATTGGAGATTGGTGCACATGTGTATGAACTTGTAGCATATTATTCTGAAACTCCAACACACAGAAAGTTCCAGCATAATATACTGGAGATTGGAGCACCTATGTATGAACTTCCAACATATTATACTGGACCAGTATATTATACTGGAACTCCCGTATATTATGTTGGAACTCCAGTATATTATGCTGAAACTGTACTATATTATACTGGAAGTTCACATGTAAAAAAAATATACTGGAATATTTTTCGGATTTTAAACAGTATTTTTATTTAAATTTATGTTTACAAGAAAAATGGCTAAATTTTTATTAGTTTTAAAATTATAGTTATTTTTTAATTATTATTTGTAAATATGGCTATTTTTTAATTTCACCACGTCCACCGTATGATGGGAGCCCAAACGCTAGATTATCCAATTTTGGGTTTTTGCAAAGGAGAAATGACTGTTAAGTCATACTGTGACTGTGTGACATGTTGAGTTACGATTCCATTATTAGGAAAAATGTGAATTTGATGAATAATACGATGGATAAACCGGCGGATCCCGGCGCAGCGACGCCAGTGTCGCAACCACCATTCGACACCCAATTGGTGTCGCAGCAGCAACAATCGGAATCGATCATCGCCAATCTCCGCAATATCTCCGACTCCCTCTCCGCTTTCCAACATTGCTTCAGTGAGCTACAACGACACATTGATTCGATTCGAACCTCAATCGATTCTGTGCTGCTACCCCCTCAGACAACTAAAACCACTCATTTACCCGCTCCATCATCAGCGCCAGCAGCTGCATCGGAATCTGACTCCTCTGAAGAAGGAGGAGGAGGAGGAGAAGAAGAAGAAGACGAGGAAGAGGAAGAGGAGGAGGAGAAAGTGAAATCGCCTCGTCCAGACCTGGAAAGTTTTTGCGAAACGATGAATAGTGATGGTCTGCGGAAGTACATGCTAACACATCTCTCAGACATTCACGGATTGCGTGTACAAGTCCCTAAGGCACTAAAACGTTCGCCCAAACCTGCGAGGCTTGTACTGGAATCTATTGGTAAGTTTTATATTCAAGGGAGCAAGGGGTATATTAATGACTTACCTTTGATCCGGGGAAGGATGGCTAAAGTATTGCTTTTGGAGTTATTGATGGGGATGGGATTTGAGATTGATAAATGGGTGAAGGAAGAGGCAGAGCAAGCAGCTTTAGCCTGGTTGAAGAGGTTGAATTCTGAAGGAGGTATACTACAGGTTCAAGAAATTGATGCCCGTGGTTTGCTGTTGCTTATTGGTTGTTTCGGGGTTCCACATAGATTTACAAATGCGAATATCATAAATTTACTTCAGGTAAGTAACCTCAAGTTGATTTCTGTTGCCCTTAGGAATTCACATGTTCTCATGGCAAAGTTTCCGGAAATAATAGAGGAAATGGTGAAGAACAAGAGAGTCTTTGACGCTGTTCATATTGTCTATAGTGTTGGAATTCAGGACAAATTTAACCCTGAGAAACTTTTGACATCATTTTTAAGAGAGTCTAAAGATTCGTTTGACAAAATGAAACGATCACAAGGTTCACTTGATGCTAATTTTGGAGTAAAAAGGAAGTATTTATCTGATTTGAATTCAGTCATCAAATGTTTGGATTCTCACAAGATTGATCCTTCAAAGCTTCTTCCTGGGTGGCAAATCAATATGAAAATAATGAGCTTGAAGAGAGAAATTGCTGAATTCGATAAGCATAAGCAGATAGCTGAACAGAAGATAGCACAACAAATTGCTGAATTGCATAAGAGAAAAATTGATGAAACTGAGTGGTTGAGCAACAAAGAAGTGAAACACTCACATTTTCCAAATCCATGGCCGCCACAACATCAAAGAGTTGTTAATCATGTCAATAGCAACAACACCTTGTTAGAAGGTGGTGGAACTGCTGGCCACAATTATGGTTATTATATTTCCCCTTCGGAATTGCATGGACCTGTTGCAAGCCCACTACGTGAAAATGTTATTAGCTCAGGTGTGGCCATGGGTGGACCTGGAGCAGGTATATTAGCAAATGCTGATGGTATTCATGCAGGCATGGATGTTGTTCCGCTAGGAGGCTCATATGCTGGAAGTCTTGGAGGGAGTCGAGTTGATAGTACACCCAAGCAGTTAGAAAGTCATGCTGGTCAGTTATATGGATCGCATGGTGATGCAACTGTGTATGACAGACTGCCCTCCCACAGATATGCTTATAGGCCATCATCCTACTTGGAAGGGCCAAACACCATAGCTGGCGATACTTATAGGCCTGGACTATACATGGAAAGCTCTGCAGGGTTGCCAAACACCATACCTGGTGAAGGCTCTGCGGGGTTGCCAAACACCATACCCGGTGAAGGCTCAGCAGGGTTGCCAAACACCATACCTGGTGATTCTAATATGCCACCGCCATACTTGGAAGGCTCTGCAGGGTTGCCAAACACCATAACTGGTAATGCTTATAGGCCTGCACCATACATGGAAAGCTCTAAGGGCTTGCCAAACACCATACCTGGTGATTCTAATAGACCACCACAATACTTGGAAGGCTCTGTTGGGTTACCAAACACCATAACCGGTAATACATATAGGCCTCTACCATACTTGGAAGGCTCTACGGGGTTGCCAAACACCATACCGCCACCATATCAGTTTGCTGATACTGTTCCAGCAACTGAACTATACCAAAGCAGTGGCTCACGAGCAGTTGGTTTTCATCCTTCGTCCTCCTTGTACTGGCAGAGATAGTTTTGTGTTGGTCAGGCATTACTTTCTACCTTAGTTTCCATTTTTCTAGTGTATATAGCCATTCTAGAAGTGATTTCATAGTCTCAGAAATGTTCGTCTTTCATCAGCTGCTAAAAATCTCTGGCCAATGTTATCCTTTTTCTTATCAAAAAAAAAAATCTCTGGCCAATGTTCAAGGCTTAGGATAGTGATGTCTAAACTCTACCTGGCAAAGTTCCAACAAACATGATTTTCTAACAGTTCTTTACTTTTCCTTTTTCCCTTCCTCGGATAATTAGATAATGTACATGTATATGTTCTTTGTTGGTCACTAATTATGAGCTAGTTGTATGCTTATTGCTAAGAAATCTCTATTAGAGTCTGAATTATTCCAGGCTTTTGTAAATGTTGTTCCCGCATTGTGTGATAGTTGTCTAGATTTGTAGAGTGCTGTCACAACAGCAATCCTACTTTTTCTTTTGGTCCATTTGGATGTCCTCCACTTGACAATTGAAATGTTTCTCCACGGCTACTAAAATGGCATATTCTTCTTGCCTCTCTTCTGGCTAAGTGTTCATAACATGTCACTTAACCCCATCCCCACCCCTCACCCAAAAGACAATAACAACAACAACCTAGTAAAATCTCACAAAGTGGGGTCTGGGGAGGGTAATGTGTACGCAGACGGCAGACCTTACCCCTACCCTGACGGGGCAGAGGCTGTTTCTGATAGACCCTCGGCTCAGAAAGACGTAAAGAAAACAAGAAGAGACAAGATATCAGTATCATCAACGGAAACCCCCTCAACCCAAAAGAATGAAAATAAAAATTTGGTAAACCTCATTCCCAATTGTTTATCTGATTTTGAGCAAGTTATAACTTTATAATTTGGTACTTCGGCACATAATGTTAACCAAAATATTGCAGCTGTTTTGTATAATGAGCTTGAGAGTTTCAAAATATTATCTGCCTTCTTTATCTCATTGTGATCGGTTAATGTATTTCATAATTTCTCAATTTTCAAAATGGTTGGAGAGTACTTTAAAGAAAACTGTACCCACCCTGAAGCTTGTCATGTTGTCAACCCCGGCAATCCATCAAGTACATTTATCCCCGAGTCCCTTCTTTATGGTCTCCATCTCATCTTTATAAATATTAATGGATGGAATGAAGTCGTCGATTGTGAAAATTCAATCGATATTCTTTTTGATATTCCTTTATTGAAACTTTTGTCATATAGAGGATATCTGATATTTGTAAAGAAGTGGGAAGCTGGCTCTTCATTGATAATACTTATGAGTGACTTTCTTTCATTGTATACGAATCTTTTAGTTTCCCAATGTTATCAGAACCTGACTGCCGTCATTTTCTTTCCTCGTCCATGGATAAATGATGATGATCTTACAACTAAAGATGATGAGGGATCTGAATCTTGACTTCCAGATTCCAGTAAGTAACCAGTTTGTCATTACCCTTCACTGCATGTATAAATTTTTATCTTTATTTTTTCCCATTTGTGCTATTCGTATCTCAATTATTAGATGACAAATAATCCTGGAAATTTGGCTTCACGTGGGGTTAAATATTTGCAACATGTCGCTATTAGTTTTTGCCCTCCATTAATGCATTTATCTTATTTTGTCGAACATCATCTCATGTCCTTCTTTTTCTTGTAACTTTGTTCAGTACACTTTGCTTGTGGTTTGTTACTTTTCCTAAATGATATGTTTATATATCGATGTAGCAAGTTATTTGCAGGTATTTTTCCTGAATGATTTTGATGAAAATTTTGAGTAATAAATATTAATGTCTAAAAGTATTAGTTGGAACAAGTAATATAAAACTAGAAATCAAGGTAGTTGTAAAAAATGACTTTCGCGCATAAGTGATGGAAGTCATTTCCTCCTTTTTGTTGGAAAATATTTTTGTTGATAACGAGGCACCAGAAAATGACTTCTCATGAGAAACATTTTCTTAGGAATGACTACCGTCAAACCACACTTATTACTAGTAATATAATTTTCTGAATCATTATTGACCTTTTAGTTAATGTTTTTGAGCTTTATCTTATGCAAATTAAAGGCTTTGTAATCTAAGGATATCCTGTGGGAACTGAAAGGAAGAAAAATTACATTTTCGGGCATCCCCAAATTGTTTATTCGTGTTTTTTGTCTTCAATTGGCACCTAATAGGCACGAAAGATCGAAAACAGTTTCAGTTTTTTTTTGGAAATAATGGAATTAATCTTATTTTCATTGCTAACTTTGTATTTATTCCCTGTCTTTTACCTGTTCTAAAGTTTCCATCATTCGTGGAACAAAATTAAAGAACTTCTAAACAAAAATTTTGGTCTAAGAATTAGGTTTTGTCTTGAGGATCTTGAAGCAAATTATGGCACTATGCTATCTACAGACAAAGACTTAAAGGCCATTTTTTTTTGTGGTCATATCAAAATTGTTATGTATTGATAGTAGAACAATTTTTGCTGGAGACTGGAGTGGGGAACAAGCAATAAGTTCTATAATTTTGATACAGGTACATGGAGTCCTCAATGCTATTAGTTGGGAAATTCTATTTCCAATTTGTATTGTCATTGCAAGGTACGTGGAAACTTTCCAGTCTTCAAATCCGGCATGGTTTTATCTTCATGTTACTTGCCAGTTTTCTGCCTATGCCATTGCGGTTGCTGGCTGGGCAACTAGGTCTCAAGCTTGGAAGTGAGTCAAAGGGTGTTCAGTATAGTGGCCATCATAATATTGGGATTGCACTTTTCTCCGTTGCAACATTGCAGGTACTGTTGCTCTATTCCGAAGTACTAAATCATTTTCCTTGACCACTCTCTTCTCATGTATCTTATGTTATTCCTAATTATCGCATCTTAGATAGTTAATTTTGTCTCTTTGAACAGCTGTGTACTTGCAAGGGGCATCCCTATATTGCATGTAGGGGGTTCAATTGAATCCCCTCGTAGGAAGTGCTAATAGAGTAAAACAATTACACATAAAATATTCCATTGTTGAATCCCCTTGACATAAAGAACTTCTAGTGTAGCGGTAAAGGTGACTTAGAAATTACTTTAAGTCACAAGTTCAAGCCTCAAATATGACACTTATGTTCCTTTCTTAAATCCCCTTCTCAGAATTCCTGGTTCTGCAATTCTCTGCCACTGTGTACTTGGGGATATTAATTCCTGGTTCTGCAATTCTCTGCCACTGTGTACTTGGGGATATTAATGGTAGAAATTAATTTTTCTCTTGGTGTTCTGCTCTTCATTTTGGTTTTAGGTTTTTGCCATGCCATTGAGGCCCAAGTAGGACCATAAGTATCAATTTTTACTGGAATATATGCGGGAGAAGTGCACCAGTAGCCACTTTTAAGCCCGTTGTTTAAAATATATCCACAATTTACAATGTATTTAAAGATTGGCAAATTCACCCAAATTTTAGGACTAAGTATCCTGAATTTGTAATTTAGAACTTAGGGGTTGTTACAATGGTGGGATATCCCAGGATATACGGATCGGGTGGGATATCCCATGGGATTAGTTATCCCACCTTCTATATGGGATAACTAATCGTACCATTTTACTGTAAAAGTTAACTAAGGATTCGCTAATACCCTGAACCAAACATGGGATAAAGTTAATCCCAACTTTTAACCCGGGATTATTATTCTTATCCCATGTACCAAACGATCCATTAGTGTCCTGAATTTTGAGTTGCTAATTTAAAATTCAGCACATAAGATTCAAACTTCTGGATAATTTTCGAAGTTTAGGACACGATGTCTTGAAGTTTGAGCGAATTGGTTAATCTTTAAATACATTGTAAAGTGTGTATTTATTATAAACAACATGCTTAAAAGTGGATACATGGTGTCATTTCGCAATGACCTGGCATTGATTTTATGGAGACATATTCTCCGGTGGTGGATGAAATCACATTCAGGTATCTTATCAGTCTAGCAATTCATGAAAAACTTGATATGCGTCTTATGGATGTTATCACAGCCTATTTATATGGCTCACTGTACAACGAAATTTTTATGAAAATCCCTGAAGGATTCAAAGTACCTGAAACATACAAAGATTCCTGGGAAACTTGTTCGATAAAGCTTAAAAAATCCTTATATGAATTGAAGCAATCAGGGCGTATGTGGTATAATCACCTCAGCGAATACCTATTGAAAGAAGGGTACAAGAGTGACTCAATTTGTCCTTATGTATTTATAAAAAGATCTGGATCTGAACTTGTCATAATAGCTGTGTATGATGATGACTTGAATATCATTGGAACTCCGGAAGAGCTTCCAAAGGCAGTAGAATGCTTAAAAGAAAGAATTTGAAATGAAAGATCTTGGAAAGACAATAACTCCACATCCATAAACTATTGTCCTTACAATAATCACTAGGTTAGGAAATAATTTTTGAACATCCTAATTTGCTTTAGGCATGCTTAATAATGATTTGACGTGGCTATAGGCACGGTTCCCGTGGCATACTCATGAAACATAATTCCACATTCAAGTGCACGTTCGCGTGACTTGACTTCAACTTCAGAGTAACAATAAAAATAAACATGTTGTAAATTGCGGGCGCATTTTACGTGGTGCGATTTACGATGTGTATAAACGAGTGTATGACATTGCGATTCGTCTCAAATTAATTCCATAAACGCCTAAAATGGAGTAAATTAATTTTAATAAAAGCGGTAAAAGGTAAAAAAAATGCACATAGGTCTAACACATGTAATAATCGGATGATTAAGCCATGTATAATTGTAAAACGATCATGCTAAAACCACAAAATTCGAGAGTGTCTCATACCTTCTCCTGGGTTAACAGGATTCTTTACCCAGGTCTTCTATGTTTCGCAAACTTATATGGAGTCAAACTTTCCTTGATTTGAGATTCAAAAATAATTGGTGACTTGAAACATCGTTAATTAAATAACTCCGAGTGGCGACTCTGAAAAAATAAACAAAGCCAATTCCATTTCAAATAATGTTACTTTAATTGAAAAAATTCCTTATCTTCGGAAAAAGGAGGTGTGACAAATACTAATATAATTCTATATAATTTTTACCAAACTAACTTTGCAACTATTACTTTAACATTTTTCCACCTATCACCACTATTCCAATATATGAATCTGATTTTATATTTGTTTAATTAAATAACAACAAACTCAATGTAATCTCATAAGTGAGGTCTGAGAAGGTTAATGTGTAAGTAGTTCTTATTCTTACCTTGTGAAAGTAAAAAGATTTTTTCCAATAGACTTTTGAGGATAATAAAATATTAGTTTATTTAAACACGGTTCTACCAATTGGAACAAGAAAAGTACTTTTAATTAAAAAATGGAGGGAAGATAATATCGTGAAAAAAGATCTTTGACAACATTGGCTTACAAAAGGACCATTAAAGTAGGTGGGAATGGATTGAAGTTGGAATGACATAAAGTCACTAAATGATGTTTAGAGTCTTTTTGGAAAGTCGATCCTGAAAATGGATTTGGGTGTAATTGGATATAATTAAGAGTTTGATATGTTTGTTTGGCCAAATAATTACTTGATCAATATGAAATTAGGTGTAATTGGAGAGGTGTAATTACACTCTCCAATTCTCAAGGGGCGGTGAGAATTGTTGGTAATTACACTATGTAATTACCAGGTTGCTTTTTAGTTTCTTTCATTTTTGTTTTTATTTTAATTTATTTTCTTTATAACCTTTTATTTCTACTATTTTTATTTTTTTATTTTATTCTTACTTTTTAATTTCTTTTGAAATTTTAAAATATATTTTTCTTTGTACATTATTTATCTTTTATTTCTCTATCTTTACTTCTTGTGATTTCATGTAATTGCTTATATTTATTTTTGTTTAGTTTATTATTCTATTTTCATAAACTATGCCTCCTAATATTAGAAATAATTAGTCATTAACAAACTTGGCATATAATGAGTGATGCAATTAAAGTATAATTTCGTTGTTGAATGTGGTTATAAACTTATCATATTTCTTAATCTTAAGTTGCAGTGGAACTTACTATTATTATGTTAAAATTTGACATATGCTAAACGATTTTATTTTTATTTTTTCCAATTTGAAAATGTGTTATATTCATGGTTCTAGTTTACTTATTTTAGTAGTATTGGCACACATTGCATGTTGTTCCTTTTTTAGTTAGAATTGATAGATTAGTTTTGTCAAACATTTAAATAATGTTATGACATTGTATTTATAAATATTAATTTATTTTATCAAACATAATTCCATGATATTCTTACAAAATGTATATTTTTAATTTTTGTAAGTATCTATACTAAATATTATTAATTTTAAAAAATATATAAATTATTTTTACAATATTATTATAAATATATGATTGCTAATTAATGTATATTCACGAAAAAATATACATCTTAAATAACAAATATAATATTATTTATACTTATAAAAATTTATAGGCATATATTTATTATATTAGCTTTTAAGTTTTGATAATTACTTAATTTAAAATTTAATCTAACTGTATAATTACACTTGTGTAACCAAACAGTAAACTTGTAATTCCACTGTAGTTACACTATGACAAACAAACATGTCATCGTAATTACACAACTACGTAATTACTACGCTATGTAATTACTATCCTAGTAATTACACCAATTCCAATTACACGGTGACTTTCAAAATAGACTCTTAATGCTGTTAGCATAGCAAATACATGCTAATTGAGACTGACCCTTCTTCAGACACGTCTTTGTTGTATATAATGGGAGTCCATTACTAAATAGTCATTTAACTATCCTTAATTATCTGCTAAAGTCATTTTTCTTTTGTTTGTAACAACAAAGTCACTTAACTATGCATATAGCACTCAGAAGGCCACCCAACTAGATTTTTCAAATTTTAGGTTGCCAAATACCTATTTTACCCTCTAAATTATAAATATTTATCTTTCTTTCTTTTTTTTTAACTTTTTAATATTATGATTTTCTGCTTTTTAATTTATATTATGGACTTACTTATAGAATAAATAAATTTTATTTATAAATTAAAAAAATAAAAGTATTTAAGCATATATAATGCTAGAATAACAAAATAGTGAGCATAGTACAAAAAATTAATTAGAATAATTTGTTCGTAATAATAATTTTAGTATTAACAACAAAAATTCAAAAATTTAATTAGAATAATTTGTTTGTAAAATATATATCCATGCACGTAATATAAAAATAATTATTTAAATAAAGGTATTTTTATAATATATATTATATATTCTTGAAAAGTATACATAATTATATTATTATTCCATTATTATATGCGCTGAAAACTAATTTTTTATTTTATAAAAATAATATATTTATTCTATAGGTAGTCCACAATGTAGGTTAAAAAGAGAAAAAATTATAATATTTAAAAAGTTAAAAAATTGATAATTTAGAGGGTAAAATAGGTATTTGACAATAAAAAATTTGAAAAATCTAGTTAAGTGACTTTCTGAGTGCTATAGGCATAGTTAAATGATTTTGTTGTTACAAACGAAAGAAAAGTAACTTTAGCAGATAATTTGGGTGTTGAGTGACCATTTGAGTAATGGACTCTGTAGGCTCATAAAGTACGAATCATTACTTTTTTTGTTGGGGGGTGTGGGGAGGTGGGACTACGAGAGATTGCAGTGAAAGCCTGAAAGTAGGAGTGTGCATGGATCGAGTTAGTTCGATTTTTATCAAAATCGAACCAAATCAACTATATCGGTTTGGATTGATTTGATGTTGTCGGGTTTTCGGTGTTTTCTAGTTTTTTATACTTAAATATATTTCAATCTTATTTTGTTAAATTTTTTATAAATAAATATATGTTTAGTAAAAATATAAAAAATTAACAAATATATTATCTATTAAAATATTCTTATGGGAGAATTTTCTTAGTAACACATAATAGTTATTTTTTAGATCGCCTGCCAATAATTTTTCGTTGATGTACAATTTTAAGGTTAACCGAATTTAGTAATTAAATAAAAAAATTAATATGATACCTAAATAACAATAATCACTTCACATTAAAAAAAGATATAAGAATTTAATAGATCTTAACATATAAATATGAAAGAAGAAAGAGAATGACGCATTTCAGTAACACTTGATTAGAATCCCAAATATTTCTAGACTTTTTTTAAAGAAAATTCTATATAAAATCTTAAAAGTATATAAAAATTATAATATATTTATATGTCGGTTTGATTTCTTTTTTTACTCAATACCAAATCAAATCAAACCAAATGTAGTCGGGTTTTTTAATCGGTTTGGTTTGACTTTTTGGTTTGGTGCGATTTTCCGGCTCGGTTTGTACACCTCTGCTCTGAAAGGTTTACAAATTGAGTTTAAGATTTATGTATTAGTGGCGTAAAAAAATTATTATAGTATTATTAAATAATTATAGGTAAATCTCTTGATAAATATTAATTAGTAATTTAATAAAAGATGTAACTGACTTAGATAACGAGTTAATATTACTTGATAATTTTTTGTTTACACTATCATATACTAATACTAGTATAACTCAAATCCTTAAATTTGATAGGATCATAGCCCACAGAAGATATTACACAAGCTTTCCTGAGGCACTAATTTAGGAAGAGACATCACCAATTATCGGAAAAAATATATACTAATAGGTCCAGCTGTTCAATGAACTGTTCTATATCGTGTATTGCGTCTCACAAACTTCAATTTGATAAAATTGAGGATATAAATTGATGTAATAAGTTGGAATTTCATTAATTAAAAAAAATCTAGTTTTTTCAATCTTAAACATCGACGTAACGTTACTTAAAACTGAGAAAAATACTTATATTGCATGTGGAGGGTTACAAATTTACAATTCTACGTGTCTGGCTAACATGTTTGGCAAATCTAAAAAAGGAAAATAACCAATTGATACGCAGGCTCAATACTGAAAGAGGACAGACACAATTTCTAGCATTTTACCATGTAACAAGAGTATTTTTGATAATCTATATATATATTAAAGCAAGAAAGTTGCCATATATAATTAACATTATGGTTAAGCCAAGTGGCAAGCTAATAAATATCAATAGTATATTGTAATTTTATTCTATATTTGACTATTTTAGTTAAATACTAATATAATATATANTAAAAATAAAAAGTCGTTTCTTTTTTCTTCTTGAAGAATATTTGTTTGAAGAGTCAATTTGCATAAATGGACATCAAACAAATAACAAAACTTTGGCTATACAATTGCTATCATTAATTTTAATTT